CCGCACCCTCCGGTGTAACGCACTACATGTCCTAGGCGCCCGAGGTGTCGGGTTACCTCCGCCGCGCACCCTGCCGCCCGGCGCACCCCCACCAGAGCAGCAAAGTACTCCGCCCGTAAAAGTGACTCTGCTGAAACGTAATACACCTTTTGCGCTGCTGGGGGGGGGGGGGGGTAGTAAACGCAAATTAAATTGCGCGCGACACGAGGAGCAGGTCTGATAAGATTGGGGGGGGGGGGGGGGGGGTAGTAAACGCAAATTAAATTGCGCGCGACACGAGGAGCAGGTCTGATAAGATTAGCGCGGGTAACAGCGGCTGCGGCCGGCCGGCCCATCATATTAGACGCGTTCAGACGAGTTTGTGTTCCGTTTCGCTGGCGTTTTTTGTTGTGTTTATGTTATTTATTTATTGTCGGTAGGCTCATCGTACGAAGTAAATAATAATTAGAAGAAAAAACTTGCACCAACTTGACGGTGTGCGCTGTCTTGGTTTTTACACTGCAGAGGCGGGAGTGAGGCAGGCCGCCGCCCCCGCCACCCGACCACCCGACCACGTCGTCGACGTGCTCTGGGGGTAAAGTCACTGTTTCTAAATTCGGACTTTGCGCCCTAAATTCGGACATTGTGCCGTATTTCACTATTGACGCCTCCAAATCCATAATGCGTTGACAAAATTTAACTTCTATGGATTTGCTGGAAAGGTAAGACCACCAAGTTGAAAGCTGTCCGACTTTATGACGCATTGGTTCCTAAATACGGACACGATTCAAATAGCCCTCACCACGATACCGTTAGTGCGAAAAAATATTTTCGGAGAGTGGTATGTGCGTCTCGACGTGAGGATTCTAGAATCCCCAGCGATTTTTCATATTTCGAAAATTATAGAAGTCACAGGCGTTTTTCCTCAAAAACCGCCCGAATTTAGGAACACTGATTGTACTCGTCAACGATTCCCTCCGGTCAGAGAACGGGGAGGGGAAAGACAGGTTCGCGCTTATCCGGGTTATTTAAAGTAAACAGATGATAAAACGTTCACGAAACATCAACATATAATTATTGTACACAATAAAATTTACATACATTTATATAGCATAAAAAAGTAAAAACAGTATTACAGTGGAATCAGCACACAAGAGTGTACATTAAGTACATACACATACATGAAATAATTAAACATTGATTGTTTAGTACATAAAAAGTGTAAACAGTATAACAGTGGAATCGGTACAAAAGAGTGTACATTAAGTACATACACATACATGAAATAAATAAACATTAAACAAATTCATATCAACAATTTAAAAAAATTACATTTGGAAGTGCTTAGAGTGTAAGCAGTATCATACAAAAAAATTAAGAGTGAACACACATTGACATTGACATACATGAAATTAGTTTTCTGGCAGGGGTCCATAACTTAACATTTAAGCTAAACGTTATGATCAATATCTCGCGTTATTGGCTAGTTTAAAGCGTTATGCATATAAACAAATCACAGAAATGTGCAGGGGAATAAGTCATAAGATCGATAACGCCAATAACGCAAGCCGTTTACGAACCTAACCTAACCCAAAATTCGCTTATGCGTTAAGTTATGGACCCCTGTTTTCTGGGTTTGAACTCGGGAGTACTTGATCGCTCACCACCTCACCTTATTGTTTCACGACAAGAGAGACCGCGAGGGAGTTGGCTGTCACAGAGATACTACGTTGACATTCTCTCAAGGGAGCGCCAGATGGCTTGGACCGAGTCCTGGTCCCCCCTCTGGGCAGAGATTCTCAGTGCCTCGTAGACTATCCTCCGCAACACTGTCTCGTGCGTCTCGTCCCGGGCGCCCTCGCTCAGGCCGCGCAGGTCGCGCACCCACAGGCTCAGCAGCTGCAGCGCCTTCTCCCCGAGCGGGCCCAGCTGCAGGCAGCGGCGCATGACCCGCACGGCACACCGCCGCAGGTCCGCCAGGTTCACCGGCAGCGCCTCCAGGTGCCACCTGACCAGGTCCACCACTGCGCGCCACTCCTCGTCCGGCCCGGAGCACAGCGCCGCCACGGCAGCGAGCCGGATGTCCCACAGTCTGTCCTCCTTCTTGTCCTTCTTGTCCTTCTTCTTGTCCTCCTCCTTCTCGCCCAGCAGCCACCCGCAGAGCGCGCGGACCAGGCGGCCACTGCCGGGCTTAGTTACGGCTTTCTCCAGGGCCTCCACGGCCATGCCGCGCACCTCCTGCAGGTCCCTGTGGCCCCGGGCCAGCCACACCTTGTCCCCCATCCGCTTGAGCAGTGCCTCGGCCACGCTCGGCGCGCAGAGCCCCATAGCGCCGTACTGCAGGGCGGTGCGCCCGTCAGCGTCCCGCGCGTACACGGTGGGCTCGCCGGTGGGTCTGCGCAGGGAGTGAACGTAGCGCAGGAGCTCCTCCTCCCGCTTCAGCAGGTACTCCACCACGGGGAGCGCGCTCACGTTTGTCGCCCAGTGCAGGGGCGTGCGGCCCTCACTGACCTGCTGCAGCAGCCCGAGGCGCTCCACGGCCTGCGCTTCCTGCGCCATCCGCGCCTCCTGCTTGCGCCTCTTCTCCGCGCTCTCCTCGGCCTTCCGCTCCGGCCGCGTCATGAGGAGGAGCCAGAACCTGCTGTCATGTAAGATGTCTTCCGGGCCCGGCTCCTCGCCGCCAGGGTCGTCCTGGGCCTGGTCCCCCGCGTGCAGCGGCGGCACGAGTAGCTTGACCACGCCCAGCCGCCCGTAGGCTGCAGCCTGGTGAAGAGGAGGGACCCTGCCCGGCCGCGGGTCGGCCCCCCGCAGCAGCAGCCACTGCACCACCTCGGTGTGGCCCCAATAAGCAGCACTGCTCAGGGGTGTGACACCCGCCCCGTCCACCGCGCTAACGTCCGCGCCGTGGTGGACGAGCCGCTGCGCCGCCCCGAGCTCACCGCTCAGTGCGGCCACACACAGCGCCCGCGTGAGGGCCGCCTGTAGGGAACCGCCCGGGATGTGCTCCACCAGCGCGGTGATGGTGTCCGGGGAGCCACCCGCTGCTGCCAGGTCCAGTGCGGTGTTGCCATCAGCATCCTCGCCCAGCGGGTCCGCCCCGCGGCTGAGGAGCGCGCGCACGAGCTCAGCGCGGCCATTACGGGCAGCGGCGTGTAGGACTGTTCTCCCGTTGTCGTGCAGGCGCTCGCTCAGGGCGGCAGAGGGGAGGTCCAGCAGCCTCAGCGTGATGGCGCTGCTCCCTCCACGGCCCGCCTCGAGCAGGACCTTCCTCGCCTCCGGGCCCCACTGCAGCAGCCCGCGCGCCTCGAGCTCGTCCAGCAACGCGGAGCAGGCCTCCTCGCGGGCACGCTTAGCGGCCCACGCAGCGGCCCTCCAGCAGTCCTCGTCATCGGGCCGTGGGGCGGCGCCGAGCAGCAGCCGCACCGTGGGGGCGCTGCCGGAGTACGCAGCAAGGACAAGAGGTGTGTGACCATGAGCGTTAGCCTGGTAGCGCGCGCCGACCGCAAGGAGCAGACGCACCACCTGGTCGTGGCCGCGATGGGCAGCGCAGTGCAGGGGCGTCCACCCTTTGTACTCCGCATTCAGGCCGCGGGGGTCTCTGAGCAGCACGGCCACCACCTCGGCGCGGCCACACAGTGCAGCTGCATGGAGAGGCGTCCAGGACTGTTGGAGATCTGGATAAAGACAGAGCATAAGAAACTTATTGGTGACGATAAATATCGTGACAAAACATTCATCTCGACCTACAGGACGGATGAGTCATAACATGTGTAATGACCAGTAATGACTTATTTGTTTTATAGTTATAATTACAAAACAGTCGTCACGGGATATAAAACAATTATCATGTATCACGCGAGTAGTGTTTTGTTACAGTCAAAGAGGGCAAATTTTGGCAATAAAAGAGGCCCAAAATTGGCAGCCTCTAAAAGACGGCCAAAATTTGACAATCAGAAAGGACTGCCAACATTTTGGCAAGCTAGGCGACCTAGCCGTTAACCACGTTAACAGTGCGAGCAGCGCGAGCAGCCATGCTCCGACCAAGTGTCATTCTTGTATTGGCTACCCTCAGACCCAGAGCCTTTCCTTAAGCCATCGGCCATCAGTTATGGGATTTATATGTCAACTCTTTGGGAATAGATTTTATCGTAGATGGTGCTGAAGCCAACAGATACTCAAATTGTCACACAAAAAGTGTGATACTTGATACTTTTCATTTTTCAAATTTTGTGTAATACTTATTGCAAAATAACGCGATGAATTCGGATCCCGATTCGAATTTATTGCAAAACGGTGATGCACATTGCTCAAAACTATAACACCTCAAAGTATCGCACAAAGCAGGGATGATCATTTCAAATACAAGCGATATGAATTTAATGTTGTACTTCTTCTGCGATGATCATCACACCATCGTGCAAAATTTTTGTATCACAAAAAACGTGCAGTCAGTATCACACTCTGATTTACAGTGCAACCTCAGCACTGCCAGTGTGTCCTTACACCCACCTGAGTACGCAGTCTTGTTCGCGGCGAGCAGCGCCTCCGCCACGGCCGCAGTCCGAGCCACGTGCAGGGCTGTGCATCCCCTCCAGTCCCCGGCGAGCGGGTCCACGGCCTCGGCGCCCAGCCCCAGCAGCCACCGCACCACGTGGGCCTGTCCGCCCTGGGCCGCGGCGTGCAGCAGGGTGCGGTCCTGGCAGTCCCTGGCGCTCACGTCGGCGCCGTCCTCCACCAGGCGCTGCAGCCAGAACAAGTAGCCCTCTCTCGCGCAGCGGAACATGTCGCTCTTCAGCTCCACGAGGCGCAGCAGCCGCTCGTTCTCGGCCCGGGACCACCGCAGGTCTCGCAGCCGCGGCCTGGCGCCGTGCTCCAGCGGTATGCGTTTGTTGTGAAGCATAGTGGAAAGGGCTTGCAGCTCGAGAGGGGACCTGAAGACCTCGTCGAGGTGGTTGAGGTAGTTCCGCAGCTGGCGTCCGAACAGGGCGGGGGAGAAGGGTAGGTCCGTGGGCGTCACCTTGTCGTGCTCGTGCCAGCGGGACGCGAGCTCCCGCAGAGCTCCGTTGATAGCGAAGATAGTAGGCAACGGGCAACGGGCAACGGGAGCGGCGGCCAGGGCCGTGAGCGCGCGCCTCAGAGTGTCTAGCGGGCTGCTCACTGATGGAGTGACGTCACGAAGCTCAGCCTGGAAGCTTGCGGTGTGCTCCGCGCTCTTGTGAAGGAGAAGGCGGAAGACCCGCGGCACAGCCTCCGGGATATGTTCACGTGCAAATAAAAGTGACATTGATGATAAACTGAAGTGCCCTAAAGGGGATTCTATTTGCCTACGGACTAACGTACTTATTCGTTCAAAATCCGGTTCCGCTTTATGTTTTGCCGGTTCCAGTATTTTGAGAAGCTCTTCGCCTATTAGGTCTTTGTCGCTGTCTGTCTTGGCTGCCGTCACTCTTTCCTTTCCCTCCCAGTCTCTGTCGTCAGTCCACTCCACCTCACCTTCTGCCGCCCCCAGAGCCGCTCGAGCTGCCCTCGTCAGTTTCTGCAACTCCTCTGCCAGCTCCTTCCTCTTAGATTCCGCCTTCTTCGGCAAGGCCAGTGTCTTTGCGTTGGAGCCTTCCTCCCCGTGCTCCTGGTCGTCCCGGACGGCAGACATTACCTTCAGGACGCCGCCGGGCGCCATGGCCTCCACGAGGACGGCCCAGCGGGGGGACAGGTTCGGTGAGGTCCAGGAGTACTTCGCCCTCTCCCCCACCACGAACAGCGCCCACCGCAGGGCCAGCCAGCCCCAAGCTGCCCAGTCGGTGTCCTGCAGACTGAGCGCCTCGCTGGTGACGCCCAGGGTCTCGTTGATCTCCTTCAACGAGTACCAGTCCCTCAGCAGCGCGAAGTCCTTTCTGAGGTCCGTGAGGGCGCTGTCGACCACCCTGCTGAGATCAGCCCTCTCCTTCTGCGACTCCTTCTTCAGCCTCCTCATGGCCGCCTCCGGGTCGGGCTCGGCGCGGTGCACCAGCACGTACTTCTCCAGCCGCTCCCTGAAGCACCGCAGGTGGGCCGCGGTGCTCGCGGTGGCCACGGCGTGGGCCAGGGTTGCAAACACTGTGCGCTCCTCGATGAACATGACGAGGAGGTACTCCATCTCCTCCCACGGCACGTCCTTGTACGTAGCCAAGAAGGACCCCTTGACGTTGTGCACGGCCAGGGCGCACATCCTGGCCAGCATCACACTCTTGTCCGCGCTGCCCGGCGCCCGGTCGTGGCCCTGGAGCCGCTGCAGCTCGTCCTGGAGGCGCCGCGAGTACTCCAGCAGCAGGTGCACGCGGCCCCACAGCTCGTGCCACCGCACGTGGGCGTGGGCGGCCGGCAGCGCGCCGCTCGTCGGGTCCTGGTAGCGGAGCAGCGTAAGGTTGGACACAACACACCGCTGCATGTCCTCGCTCAGCGGCAGGTTGAGCGCGCGGGCCGTGCGCCAGGCCTCGTCCAGCGCGTCCTCCAGCGCGTCCTCCAGCAGCGCAGGCCAGCCCACCGCGGGGCCCGCTGCGGCACCCAGCTCCACGAAGTGCTCCTCGTTCCCCCGCCGCATCGCGAGCAGCAGCGCGCCGGTCAGCCTCCCCGGCGACAAGGGGCCGCGGCGCAGCGCCAGGACGACCTCCTGCAGCTCCTCGGGCATCCTGCGGGTCAGAGGTCGTCTCTCATATCGCACCCGCTGTTGGCTCCCGGACCGCCGCCTCCCGAACACTCACCTCGGTTGGTCGTCAGCTGGTGGAGGGTCTCGCTGCGGTCCGCTCCCAGGCTGCGCTCTGGTCGACCTCCCCTCCTCCTCCTCCGCGGGTGCGGGCGTGCAGCTCTGGAACGGGGCGCAGACGTTAGGTCGCTGTGTCCGCCCCTGGGGCAGCGGTTCACTCTGTGCTCACTCACCTGCAGGCTGTCGTAGTGGACCCGCTGCCCGCCGCCAGCCCTGCTCAGCCTGTAGACTACCCTGAGCGTCCTGAGCGGGGGCCCCGGCCGCACATCGGGCGGGTCGACGGGTCGGCAGGGTGGAGCGCTGCCTGGCCGCGCCTCGGAGTAGACCTCTATGCGGGTCTGGTAGACCGCTGCCAGCGCGACCAGCGCCTCCTCGCCCGCCCACTCGGAGTCCCTCTCCAGCCTCGAGGCGAGGCGGCCGGCCGCCCCTGGGATGTCCGCGAGGCGCCCGCCCTCGTCCCTGTAGGGCGCGTACCCCTGCGGGTCGTCCGCCGCGGCCGCGTCTAACGCCGCCTCGAACTGGTCGGGGTTGGCCCTGATGTACGCGGCCGCCTGCCACCGCAGCTCGGCGGCGTCCTGGACCCCGCCCACGGCGCGCAGCTGGTGGCTGACGGCGTGGAAGAGGCAGTTGCCGTCCGCCCCCATGCAGGTCACCTCCGCCAGCCCCTCCGCCACTCGCACCGTCTCCCGGGTCCCCTCCGCTGGCCAGTCCATTCTCCAGGGGTCGCGGGGACAGCCGGCCCTGCAGCTCCTGCGGACAGACAGAGCCTTGCACCCCGCGCTGCACCGGCTACTGAACTCTGGCGCTCCTCTCCGGTCGACTCACCTGCTGTCCGCTCGGGACGTCCTCCGCTGCAGTGGCGCTGGGCTCAAACGGACGCAAGCAGCTCGTGGTCGTCGAAAATCGAACCGCAATTACAATCTAGGCAGCGCAAATGAGTAATTATAACGAGCGCCTGAATGTCGATTCCGACCAAACCGTGGACTAAACCTTTTCCCGCTGCAAAGTCGTGTTTGCGTACTTGGGTGATTTTGTCGAGTCGATTAGTCGAAACGTATATGCTGCACCCAGAAAAATGGATAGCTGCAGCAACCATCGTATGGTAAGCCACGGACAACCATAAAAATATGGTTTGTAAATATTAGTTGAGCCGACAGTCTAAGGTTCCACCAACATTGACAATGGCTGGCTGTTTTCATGGTCGGCGTAGGATTGTTGCCACAACCATATTTTTATGGTTGTCCGCGTGGCTTACCATACGATGGTTGCTACAACTATCCATTTTCTGGGTGTGGAACATCTATCTCGTATTGTAAATAATGGAAAATTTAACCATAATTTTTTTCACGATGGTGATCTAGGAATGTTTCACTGTTATTTTCGGGTGATTCCGAGCAGACACTCGGGTGTTGCGGGTTCGTAGTCTATTGTGGCTCAGGCGCAAGGGCGATGGCCGACGATGGCGCTTTGCGTTTGGAGGGGGTAGGCAAATCCGCGACACAAGTATGGTGTCTGCTTTCTAACACCCGGTACACGAAAAAAAAAATACAATTGAAGCGTTCTAATATTAAATAAACATTTTTTATTACTTTTGTTTTCGGGCGAGATGATTGATGCGTGTGTGGCGGGACCGGACCCGCGTGGCAATAGAGGCAGAGGCGACAGGACGCAAAGAGGAAAACATCAACTCGTTTTCAAAAATCACGCACCTTTCTCCCCC